CAGGGAATTTCTTGAAGCCATGCTCTCCGATTAATCAATAGGTACGTCAAGTTAGATGCAATGTAATAAATCCGTAATAAATCCTCAGAGGAAAGTGGAAGAGACGAGTACCAATCGATACAGACTGACGCACACAGCGGCTATTTACCGGCTGAAGTACGAAATGAATGTTGATTTCTCAGCACGTTTGAACTGCTAATTGTTTTTGCACATTTACTTAAGTCTGACGACGACCTGATGAACTAGCTTTGAAAATTTACTAAGTAAATTTTTCTTCCTTTTCCAAAGAACTTATTTGACTTTAAATCCTATTCTTTGGTATGTCAGCTTTCCAATTCATACACACATATGCATACGCATGACGACTGATAAGAGAAAAAACCGTGGTAACCATCTGTTTTATTACCCATCAGCCGTCGGTCACATCGCAAAAAAATTGCTTAGCCTGGGTATATATGTATATGGTGGTAGGGGCGCTCTTAGGTCTTTGATCATCCAGTCTACTTTGTCCTTTATAGTAATACCATTCTGCCCATATATATATATATGCGGTATGTTATTACCGAAAAATACAAGGGAGACTGGAATGGCCTTTCTGGCTTCGTAGCCGTCATCAGCCAATCATACTCAACCCCCCAAGTGTGGAACACCAGAGGCTAGGACACGCGACCTGTTAGTTAGAAGTCCCCCCAGAACCACTGGGTCATGAGCCCCTGGCCCTGCCGATTTCGATCGGGAAAATACAATGATAGGAGGCGCTCACCGATCGTTCATACGGAACTCACTCGTTCCGTTGTGCCTTACGAGCTCTGTCTCGAACCCAACCAGCAGCCGCACAGCGGCACATGACATAGGCAGTATATTATTGCCGACAAAGACAAGGTAGGCTGGAATGGCCATTTCTGGCTTGTTAACCGACGTCAACCAGACAAACATAGCCCTGAAGTGTGGAACACCCGAGGCTAGAACTCGAGACCTGTTAATAAGAAGTGCGCGCACCTAACCACTAGGCCACGAGACCGCTGCCCTGTCGGTTTCGTTTGGGAATATGGAATGGGAACCGATTGATGGAAACCGTCAATCTGTAAAATCCGCTTTTACACGCCTACATAAACACCCATTGGCAGTAAAGCGGCGGGACGACCTATCCTTAGTCGCCATGAGTACTCTTGGAGCTGGGCACAAATATGCTTGAGATAACACACGCATAGTCGCTTCCTGTACACATCAGAAAGGCGAAGAATTCCTGGAGACCATAAACTCTGATGATTCATGCATCAGCCGGTGCATCGATCTTTAAGCCATGTACACCAATCTCAGAGAAAAGTGAAAAGGTGATAGCCAATCAAGACGTAACGTCAGTCCACAGCACTAACCCATCCTCGGCCCTGAAAAATCAATATTGATTTTTGGACATGTTTAAATTTGCACTGGTTTTCACACTTACTGTACATTCGTCGATGAACTGGGGAACCAGACTCGAATATTTACGAAAGAAAATTTGTTCAATTTCCCAAAGGACTCATTTTTTCTTCAAGTTATTTATCTGCACAGACTCTCAAAGCTTTGGCTTTTGCGAACATCTCAACACTAACATTTGTGTTTCAGACCCAGAGACCGACAAAAACGTACGGAAGCCTTTATGTCTTGCGTCCAAACAGTCCGAAACGATAACGTTCAATAACACACGCAAACACAATAAGACAAATTCATCAATTGTGAAGTGCACTTCAGGAAATGAACGTCTTCAGATGAAACGGTGCAGAAGACGACTGTCATAGTCTGGTCATGAAGGTCAACACTCACCCGAATAGGCGTTGGCGGAAGGTTGGGAGTTTCTTCGACTCGAGCCTGAAAGTGAATCAAAAACGCTGTGGAGTCCCAACCATTAGAGGAAAACACATCGTCATCCAGTGTGTAACAAAATTGTCATCTGAGTGGTAACAGATAAATCTATGTACAGTATGTGGGCTAACTCATGGAACGTCAACAGAAATTCCGAAATGCGTTTCCCCTTCGAAATGATTAATTAAGTAGGGTTGTAAAATCAATCACCGTGCAGCATAATTTTATAATAATTCAGTTATCCCAGGACGCTCCTAAAGATTTAATTATATTTCATAGAGAACGTGCACCAAAAGTATTCATTCTTTCGCTCATTTCGTAGAAAATAACGACTTCTTTCAATTTTACACTCCAAGGTAGGGTAGAATTCGGTCTTAAAAGAGTTTCCAATTGTGGGATTTTTAAGTACCGTCCAATGGCTCTTCATAAAACGTCATGTCTCTGCATTTACCAATGTGGCTTGTAAAGTTAACAATGTGGTTCAAATCCACTGCTTAATATGTTATGATCCCTATACGATCCCCCTTTATTGCCGTAGAGAAATGCATGGTTTTGCGTACGCGGAAAGTATACGGCTCGTAGTTTGGGAACCCTGAATGCAAGTGTAACGGCAGGTTGGGTTCAAAATTATTCGGGAAATGGAAAAATTTTATAAAACTGAATGATACACTTCCTTCGAGGGTAAAATTGAAAGAAGACGTAGTTTTCTACGAAATGAGCAAAAGAATGAATACGTTTGATGCACGTTCTCTATGAAATATAATTGAATCTTTACGAGCATCTATATTCAATGAAAAAAATGCATGCTAGTTAAGTAGTCGTTTTTTTGCGGAGTATAGTTTTTGCACGAACTCGCGACCTGCTAGTTAGAAGTCCACGCCTCTAACCCATGGGCCACGAGTCCTTTGCCCTGTCAGTTTTCGATCGGGAATATACAATGGTAGGGGGGGCTCAGTGATCGTGCCTATGGAACGCACTCGTTCCGTTGTGACTTACGGGCTATCTCTCTCGAGCCCAACCATCACCCGCACAGCGGCGCATGATATGGGCAGAATGGTATTACTGACAAAGACAAGGAAGACTGGAATAGTCATTTCTGGCTTATTAACCGTCGTCTGTTAGTCATACTCAAGCCAAATGTGTGGAACACCTGGGGCTCGAACTCGCAACCTGTTATTTAGACGTCCAACGCCTCTAACCACTGAGCCACGGGCCCTTGTCCATCATTGTCTTATGAGTTACAGAATAGCGACCCAACCACCTGGACGCGGATGTCAGAACTGACGAGAGAAATTCAGTCAGAAACGGACACGCAAAATTTCCTTCACTATGTGGGTAGAGAGTCGAACACACCATCTCATAGCCTGGTCGTCTATGACACGCGTAGGTTGGTAGATGAGCTTTGTAGACCAATGCTCTCGTGTCCATCTCTGGGCGTCTTGACTGAGGAGGGAGGGAGTGAGGTAAGCGCTTCACAAGTCCGCCTCACTATAAAATAACTATGGTGCAACTCACCGGCCCCATGCCCAGGCTGTGGACGTCGTCAATTGCGACGGCTGAACCGATGTGTCAACTGTAATCCCAAGCGATTTCTTTAAACATGTTCTCTAATTCAGTGGCATAGAACGAAACGGCTGAGTTTCCGTTGCAAAAACTGGGTTTCTGCGTGTTGGTTTTCGCAACTAGCTGACGCTACTAGAACAACCTGTGTCGGAAGCCTTAAATTGAGTCAGTACACATCATTCGAAGAATGATTCTAGGGCAATGGTAGTCAAACACCTCGAGTTCTACTCGTCTTCTCCACGCCCCAACTCAACATTAACAATCCCAAGGGAAGACTGGCGGGATGGATGCGTTGTGCACGCGGATCATCCTGAGGGCTGGATGTGTCGCATCGAATTCAGAAACGCGAAATTGATTCGGATGATGATTCCATTGGTCCTACTCTGCCTAATTTCCTAAACTGACAATTAGTAATCCTGTGGAGAGTTGTCTTCTAGTCTGCAAAGCAGTTTGAAAAATGCGTCGCATAGCCCCGGTGTTTTTGGATTATGTGACAGGCTCCCAGACTCACTTATCTAGGAGACGCTAACTTCATCACAGTCGGGATGCAGTTGCAATGCTTCCAAAACAGCGTTGGGTTCTTCCGAATATCCAGTTACTGGTGTAGGTGAAGAGCATGGATGGCGGCACAGCCTTACCGAAGTTGAGGTCGAATATCGAGCGGTAGTTGTAGAGCGATAGTAAACCCTGATCACAGCGGCGACCTCTGAAATGTCATCCAGCTACATCACGTGTATAGAAGATAGCGCGAGCCGAAGTTGAATTCCCCATGGAAAGGCCAACAAAGAAGACGATCATGGCCATGGCGAGATTCAAGAATGAGCCGCAGCGTAAAAGAGGTGAGTTTTTACGCCTTTGCTTTGCCGACTCGACATCAGGTATCAGCCGGCTATTTTACACCTCACTATAAAACCCTAATGCGACTACATACTACTCAATCGAGATGGCCGTAGGACCTTCATTTGAATACTAACCCAGTATATATTTGCGGCAATGGCAGAAGCACGCGTTGAGGACAATTAACCGGTTCTGGTCCAAAAACTTCAACATTTATTCCGCATCTTTGTACTGAGCCGCAAGTTCAGAGCGGCCAATTAAAGGAGTCTTTGAAGAGACAGCTAGTCCAGTTAGGCCATTCTGGTCTCCGGCAACGGTCGGTAGACCACGATTGAGGCATCTTTCGACAACCTTTTGCGACCGTTGAAAGGTATATAAGGTTTCATTTCACGTAGATACATAAATGGCAAGGGTTTTGTTTAAGAATGATCACAGAACACCTCGGTACACATAAAAGAAACTCGGCATTTATAGCTTTTCTAAAATATTCTTCCGGTTTGATGTCATATGACTAATTTAAAAAAACCAAAAACCTACGCAGATTTAAGTCGTTATGCCCAGATTTAAATATAAATCATTTTCGGTTAATCTACTACACAGTTAACCAGGAAAGTAAAACGCCAGAAAAAATGCCGTATAAAAACGGTTATGTGAAATCCTTCCTTACCGGAATGACGGTTTTAGCGTCGTCGTCGTCGTCATCATCATCAGATTTGTAGATGGAAGACTACAAAGGGGACATAAAGGTTTATCATTACCTTGAGCGTCCACATCAAGTTATATACTTTAGACAAAACGGAAAACAAGGGAAACGATTCAAACTAACTCAGTAACCCTTCTCTTATCTCGCTTAGAGAAGATCACGACCCGTCTTTCTGGACCCTGGTTCCAGAATACCGGAAAAAAACAACACGGACGGTTTGCATGTTTTACGAACTATTCAACCACACCAATATTGACTTTCGACACCAAGAAAAAAGCTTACTACATTGAAAAGGTACTTACTTTTTTGTCTACTGGCAGTTCGACTTACCCGTGGTCTCTGTTCGTACAGGAGTCTTTTAAGATTAAATTTCAGTCACGAACGGTCTTTTTTTAATTTGCTGAACGTATCTAACGCTTCTCGTATCCTCGGCCTGATCATTCACGCACTTGTTGTAGAAACAGCGACTTTCTGAATTTGAAGTCAAGGACTTATAGTCGGACCTGGCACAGAGCTGTAGTGTTTATTGGATGCCGTTACCACGCAGCTGCGGGCCTGATGTTCGGCTGGGACACCTCAGATCAATTAATTATCACGGCAAGCACGAGCACAATTGAGGAAAGGGCCAATAAACAGGGCAGCCCGTAAATACTGCCACTGCTTGTGAACCCCTTGCCTATCTCGGCTCCTGCCGGTTTCGAGTGTGGACCCGAAACCTCGAGCGAAATCAAAACACCCTATTGCGGTGAATAAGTGCTGCTTTTGCTCATCTGTTAGCCAAGACTGATATTTGTGCGTGTATTGATATGCGTGGGCGGTTTCAGTCGCTTAGAAGCACTCAAGTCGCACCAAGTGCACTGAACATGCCGCTGTATTCTCGCACCAAATAGACTCATAGGAATATAAACTCGGAAAAATGCATGCAATCAGGAGTTTTCCAAGGCCCCAGAAATGCTTACAAATGGCCGGCATGACCGGAGTGCTGTGAGAATCTAACTTCCATATCACACACCCTCAGAACAAAACGACAGCGAGTAACCTCAGATACTCTTATGCACACTCCTCATCTATTTTTGTTTCATAGGGCATTCGCTGTGAAATCCCAAGTGTGATAAAACTCGCGTCGTCCGGCGGGGCCTCGTAGCTCAGGTGGTTAGAGCGTTGGCTGTACTAAAGCCTTCCCCCTTACTGCGTGGGTTCGAATCCCACCGAGGCGCCGAGTTTTTCACAGTGGGTCAATATGAATTCCACTGGGCATTTTCTGCTCTGCCGTTGCTTTACGATTTTCCGCTCTCCCCTTGCAGGGCCTAATTAGTTTCTTGCTTTTAGTTATTCTCAGTGGTTGCTATTTCACAGCACTCCAGGGAGCATAGGACTGAAATTTCTGGATTCTGAAAGAAGCAAACAGGTGAGTTGCAGGCAGCAGTTCAGAAGAAGAAGAAGAAGAAGAAGAAGAAGAAGAAGATGCAATCACTGGGACAAAAGTTTTATTGGTCTGACGTTTCTGATTCTCACTCGGACCTATCTACGACCGTCGAGTGAGAATCTGAAACGCCAGGATAATAGCCCTCTTGTCCCAGTGATCACATCTTCTTCTTCTGAACCCCTGGATTCGGTATTTCTAATTCTGCACGCTTCAAACACCTCGGAGTCTACTCATGGACCTTGTAGATTAAAGCGCCCTCTGTTAAATCGCCTTTAATTGGTAGTCGGCCTTATTACTGCCCATCGAAGCGCATCCTTCAGCGGGATGCCGTAAACACTTAGCACCAACGCTTGATTATGAATGTTGGAAATATCTTAAATAAACCTCAAAGTACATATACACTGGAGAAAGAGAGAATAACTCGTCCGCTGGAACATTCTGATTAGTAAGCAGAACAGGAATCAGTGGTAATAACATCACATGCTTTACCATGACATTTCGGGGTCTTGGAACTGACATTCTAGCATGTGTATTGTAGGAAGTCCTACCGCGCTGCGTCTTAGCCCAAATTTTTTCCAGAGTAATAGAACTTGCAAGTTCATTTATCAAAAGCGCGTTTATGTCGCGCTTTAATATGCATCCTTATGAGGCCTATTGTTCAGTGAGAATAGCTCGGTTTTTTGCATTTAAGTCGTTAATGGCTTCAGGTCTATGAACCATGTTGGCTGGCCGACCCCGATGTTGGAAACAGTCTTCGTCTGCGCACACCCCTCAGGTAAATTAGGCTTCTTAGGCCGTCTCAGCACCGAATATGAGAGGGGGAGGGTCATTGCGCTTTTACTAGACTAGGGTGGTCAGTGAAGCACGATTTAGGTCTTGGACCGCTTTATAAATAATGGTAAGAAGGGGTTGCATGCAACTTACGGTGACACACGAGTACTCTTGGGAGGAGTATGATGACATGGACGTAGACTAGAAGTAAATACAATCACATTTATTAGCATAAATAAGAGTAAACACGGGAGTATATACTACTAACTTCATTTAAGCGACAAGCGGTAAGACTTTTAACTGGTCCTAGTTTGTTGGCTTTAGCATTCGCGCCGAACATATCATTACCGATTACAATGAAAAAAGACTCCTCCCTGTTGCTTCTGGATACAGTGTTGCGCAAAACATCAAGCTATATAGGCTGTTAGAAACATAATTCATAGCTTCCGCCTTGCAAGGTCTGGGCTGTTAAGACAGCTTTCGGAATTAATTGTATTTCCTTTACGATAATGATCCCATGAGATACGGTGTGCACTCCTAGTATGTGCAAAGATTTTTCCATTTTCCCGCGATAGGTTTCGTCGGCGAGAATTTGGAAGCTCTGTGTGAAGTATTTAAAATTTTTTACCAAAGCCCTGGACATATAGAACCAGTGCATGTTTTTAGTTATGACAGTCGACGGAATTCCGGTGCAATCATCGCACATTTCGCCCAAGTATTTGTTGACGATTCCTCAGAGCACGAAAACAAATACTCATGCACTGGAAGTACCTCTATTTGGAAGCGATTTGGCTAGACAAACTGGGTGTGGATGAGGTTGTACTCTCTTTCTCACTAGTTCATGCTAACTAAGACTTCCATTTCTTCTCCGTACGCAGACTTTACAAGTTGTTATTTCACGTCCCTTCATGGAGTCTGGCTACAATTCTAACACCGCAGATTTTCAAAAATTTTTCATCAGCCCGAAATTTGGTAGGCGCAAGCGACATCGTACACCGCATGCTCTCACAAAGTCGGCGCAGTATCGGTGACTTTCGCGTAAATTAGTTTATGGTAACAGAGACTTGCGCAGGATCTTCCGCACTCACTCTCCGCGCCCGTTTACGTGTGCCACACACGACCTGGTCTCCACTACATATACGCTACCTTCAGGAGGCGAGGCTCGGACCGCCCATCTGTGCAAATTTCACAGAAACTCCATAGGTTACCCTAACATAAACCGGCAAAATAACGAATGTCTTACATCGTTAGGTTAAAAAGAACGCTCTCACTTTCGGGCATCTGACAGAGCGTCTATCGGAAGAAAACCTGGTCTGGACAATACACGAACTTCGCTAGTTTCGTACCTCTCCAACAAAAACGAAATCCAGTCAGGTGCTTGGCAGAAAGGGCTACAAAGATGTGTTCAACAGATGGTATCGAGGAGGAACTTAGAAAAATCTAGGACTTGCTTCGCGAAAACGGGTATCCTGACAGGTTTATTACAAAGAACCTTGCCGAACGACCCGCAAAACCCACCACACTGACGCCGAAAAGAAAACGTTGTTCCTCAAAGTCCCTTTCCAAGGAGACGCTGCAGGTGAACTCCTAAGAAGACGCCTTGACCAAGCTGTCTCTGAAACCTTCCCAGCAGCAGGGGTCCGTACATCATTCTACACTAACCCTATTTTACGCGGAGAAGGCAAGGATAGGCTGACACTTCAAACCACCCCAATGTACATCTACTCATTCACTTGTTCCTGTAGAGCAGGTTGTGTTGGTCGTTCGAGTCGGCGTCTTTTCAAAAGAATACGAGAGCACCTTTCTGCATGGTTGGCAAAAAGTTGAAACTAGGAGAATAGACAGCGCTATCCTTGCGCATGCAGTGGATTCAGGGCATCGTTTGGACCCCGCTGAAGCATTTCGTGTGATTTACAAGGTCCCTTCGAGCTACTGGGCCAGCGCATGTTAGGAACAGCAGAAGCGGCTGCCATCAGGTTACGAAAACCGGCCCTATGCGCTCAGAAGAACCTCGTTCAGGCTCCACCCTTGCCGTGGTCAAGGGTTGACTAACCACATACAACTTTCTGCGCCCTTCCGCTTTTGCCTAGCCTGTATTTTTAAAAAACTACCTTTTATCGATTTTTTCACTTACCGTACCCCGTCCTATATAACTGTACTGGTCTGACGAGAAGTTATCGAAAGCAACGTTCGCTCGCCACCATTTCTTCTAAACAAAAACACTTGAAGTCTTTCCGTCCCTGTTCATGCAGGTTATATTGGCAGTGGACTCATCCGGACCTGCCCGCAAACAAACTGTCTGGACACTCCGAGTGGTCCTCCTTGTTAAAAGGTCCTTGCGGAGGCGCAAATTACCCCCCGGTGCATGATTAGCCCTACTGTTCTAGTCAAGCAAGCAAGAAAAATCAAATTAACGGGCCTTTCAAGCCAAGAATGAAAAAGTGTACAGGGGTGCACTGCAACGTGCCCCGCGACCGATGACAGAGTCACACTTGCGAGCCAACTCGGTATCCTTCGCTAGCAGGGCCGATAGGTGCGTGCATCGACACCCACGCTTGTATGTCTCACAGGCTACAGCGCCATATCTCACTCTCTCTATCTCACTTCTCGAAATTGCAGCTGTATTGCAGCACCCACAGGTATGAGAGTCCCTTTGGTCGTGAGTGAGCTAATCCTTACAGTAGGAATCCAGTAGCAGAAGTCAGTGTAATGCTTGAGAAGGCGATTGCGTCCACATCCCGGCCTGCCTTTTTTGACCAAAGCCTGTTAAAAGCATGCTTAAATGACTTTTCGGCTTCTCAAAAATGAGAGTCCAGGAGTTGCGCTCCAAGAATGAGAAGTTGTTCCGAGTAGCATATTCTGAATATCTATTAGTCGAGAAGACATCAAAAAGCCAGCGTCGTTCAACCCTTTTGTCGGCTGGCATACTTTAATGTGTTTTAACTCTTTGAAATAGACTCCGACAAAGATGTACTTGTGGAACAGGAAGTGATTGGTGTTGGAGGGTTTGGTCGGTTCTCTGGAATTTCTAGAAAACGGCTAAAGTAGTTTTCCTCGGACTGATCGATTTTGTTCTTCTTTCGCTGCCTTGGCCTTCTGACCGTTTGTCATGAATTTTGGCAGCCTCCTGTGTTCTGTGTCTTCACCTCACTGGGGGTCAGTTGCACCTGTATTCCCCTTTTAGATGATTCAATCGACAGGCCGCGTTTGCTAGGCGTTTCGTAAACTCCGTGCGACCGTCTCATCCTGGTCATGGAGTATGTGGTGGCAAATGACTTTATAGGCCGCAGGAAGATCAAGATGCCTGCTGATGGAGTTGCCATCTGGGTACCCAGCCCCAAGTGTGAGACGTTCAGTTGCTGAGGTGCCCCGACTTAAGACGCTTACTTCTTGAAAGTCTAAACTGTGGTTAATTCGTCCGATGTGAGTCGCAGGCCGTGAGATCGGGTCCAGTCTCCGATTTGCCCATTTATGATCGTGTAGGCGGGTCTGCAATTTCCGCCCAGTTTCGCCAACCTAGTCGCAGTCTCCATCGTTAAACGTATTTCATAGACAACTGCGGAGGTTTCAGTGAGCGGCGCTATGTCTTTAGGTTGCATCAAACGGCGACGAATCGTTGCCTGGGGTCCATGGGCGATGCCTACTCTGGCGGGTTGTAACAGTCGTGAAACCGCCTCGGAGGCTCCCTTAGTGCAAGAAATAGTTCTCCGGACTTATGTTTGCTGTTATTGTGGCCGTCGTCTGTTCACTCGGCATTCGCTTTGCTTGGTACAATTGCTTGGGCATTTATTGGCCCGAAAGATGTCATGAAGGTATTGTCGTCCAGCTGCTTTTTTTGCTGGTGCGCTGCAATGTGATTCCACCCCTTGAAATAGAGTCCGACAAAGATTTATTTGTGAAACAGGGAGGGGCGGTTGTCGAAGTGTACTATTTGCTCTATGCTGGCGGTTTTTTCGAAAACTGTAGTTTGTAATTGCCCAGTGGCACACCGTTGCATAAGGACATCGAAGAAGGGAAGTTTATTGTCTGTTTTAGCTGTCGTCATGAACTGATGTTCGAGTCAATCGAGTTCAGTACTTCTTCAACATGTTTAATCTCAGACGTCTTCATAGTGCTGAAACTGATACTGATATAGCGAGCCCAGAACTTTGGCTAATACCTCGTGAAAACCGGCTGCTCGCTTCGTTTGCGAAGTAGGTAGCCAGCAGGCCTGATAGGCGGAGCCCATCCGAATGCCTTTAATCTGTTCATACATTTGCCCACTAAGTGTGAAATGGGTTTTAATAAAATGTCGAAGAAGCTCGGATTTCAGGCGCCTGCTCCTCCGGTCGCATCATTTAACCAGAAGTTGCTTTACAACGCCAATTGCTATTTGTTGTGGGATGGTGCTGAAAGATGAAGCAACATCAAAGGATACCATAGATTCGTCTGGTCACAACTTCAGGTGTTTTGTATGTTCAGCGCCTCTTTAAATCTGGTTCTGTCAATAACCGAGAAGGTTGGTCCTTCGCGCAATGCAAAAGATCTGCCCATTCAAAGTCATAGGTCAACTCATACTCTGTCGCATTCATGGTAGATTCAGAAGCCTATTAAACACCGATTAAAAAGGGGTGGTGTATGGGATAATCTAATCTGAGTTTCGATTTCAGGCAGTCGCACTATTGGCATTTCCCTCAGCGAAAACCTTTGTGTGCTCTTTTTGGGGAACCGCTATTGGTCGATATGTTCATTGACTGGACACTGAACTGACTCCGCGCATAGCACAGTTGATCGACACTTATCGTTCTATCGTCGCAAACGAGGAGAACAGCCGCCGTGTCGACATGCACGTGACTGAAGCAGCATCTGCGCTAGCTGACAAGGCCAAGTGGCCCATCTTCACAACCAGATCACGAAAATCCACACGATAGCCCCGAAAAGGGGCGATCTCAGATTGGACGTCCATAACATGCCACAAAGGCCGCTGCAGGGAGACTATATGCTCTCATATTCTACCCTGGATAGAAACAAGTTCTCCCGTGGGATGTAAAACATTAAAAATGAGTATTTAATAAGTCCAGGTGGCTATAGGTTTCATCGTATCATTTATAATATTGCCAACATCAACTGAAATGTAAACCTGAACGATTATTGTAAGGGTGTGGGCCACAGTGCCCACCCCAAATCAACATCCGATCATTCCGAATCTCACTAAAGAGCCATCCTACTTTCCACGACAGAAGCAAGCCTGCATGAATCTGCTCCTCGCGTAGATGTCGCCAAATGCGCAAAATATATATCACACGCCACCGACTCCTCACGCCAGTCATACCTAACCCCCGAGGTTTTGCTACCCCTGAGGTTTGAGAATTCGGGTGCTTCTGGTCAGAAGTCCAACACCCGAACCATTGATCCACAGGTTCGCCATCCTGTTGGTCGCGATCAAGAATGTTAGCAGTCGGTAAGCACCACGTCCTCTAATGTTGTTAATCTAATCGATCTAAACCAACAGACAACGAGTCTTAGGTTCCAAAGGTAAGCAGTGTTGACCTTCTAACCAAGAGGGAGCAGGTTCGAGCCTCACAGACTGCAAACCCGAGATGGGATGTGGCCGGCTCGTAAGTCAGAAACGGCCTCCACAATTTCCCTTATCTTTGCATACCCACATTTGGCGAAGGTGACTATCTTACTCACAACACAGGTACTAATTAAAGACCCAGATGTTCATCGGTGGGTCAACTTGCGGCAGACAGCCTCGTCAGTTTTCTGTCAATTGGTATTCACGTTTGCATAGTGAGGCCGATTTCAATTGTTTTGCGCAGTTACTTCACGTCTGACGACGGTCTGGGATGCAACGTGGAATTTATATGCAACAGAGTTCGCAACCTACTCCAAAGAACTTATCTGCCTACATATCGCCGGTGAACACAGGGATAGCGAAGCAATGGGTGATGCAACGTGACAGGCGAATGACCAAGACTGCCAGGTGCGGCTGCAGAAATACCGCAAAGTCTTGAGCCGGATAATTCAGAAGTGTTCAGAGCGCATTGCAGAGGACGGTGCAACACTGTAGAAGCGAGTGATCGACAATCGAGCCAGAGGACTGAAATCTAGACGTCGGTTTAGTTCCAAGCGCTAAAGCATGCAGTATGCCTCAACGCAGCGGACGCCGATTCGGGTAACATTTTGGCCAGCATTGAGTCGGTCTTTAAGCCCTCCAAGGAGCCGGACGAAACAAAACATCCCATCGGACAGTAAGTCAAGTTCTTGCTGTTGGCGCACAAACCACGTGTGGGAATTCTGAGAGCGGAGCAAAACGTCCTCGAGACGCTGAAGACGGACAGGAGCATCGTAGAACTGCCAGCCGACAAGGGACATTCCACAGTAGTACTCGACAGGTCTGACTACCTTCGGAAGGCCAACGCCTATTCGATGACCGTCGGGTGCAATAGTGGCACGAATCAACACGAAGCTCGCTGGGTTACAGAATAACAGTGCCATCCCAAAAGCAGAACGTCTGAACATGACAAGATTCCATGGGCTGCCTGAAATGCACAAATTTGGTTCTTCACTTCCCCCTATTGTACATTTGCGCGAAACACTCAACCTGGCCAAATGGCTGTTCCGGCGTCTGAGCTTTCTCACATCAGGCTTCTACAAGACGGTCCACTCAGACGTACATTTCTTGGAAAGACTCCACGGGATACACCTTGACACAGATGAAGTCATAGTATCATTTGATGTTACATCACTCTTCATCTCAATTCCTCAGAGTCTTGGGATTGAAATTGCCGGTGAACTGCCGGTGTACTTGAGAGTCAATATTACAAAGATGCCTTATCCAACTGCCCAATTTCGGCCCCAAGACCTACTTCACTTTTGAGAGAACAGCCTAAGAGCAAATCAAAGAACTTCGATGGGCTCGCTGCTATCTGGTTTCATAGTGGAGGTGGTACTTCAAAAGTTAGAGACGTTGTTGTATGCGACCCACAAACCAATATTTTTGGCGCGGTATGTGGACGATACTTTCGTCGACCTTAGGGAGAAAATGATCTCCGAGTGCATGGCTTCAAGAAACTCTCGGCCTTCTGGAGGTGCAAACTCCAACGATTCGAGATTTATCCCAGGCGAAGATGTGCCCGATAGCAAGGGATGGAAGACGTCCACCAGATTCCATGCAATGCCTGCAACGCCGTATATTTCGACCGAACGGGAAAATCTGCCTCCTCTAATGGCCATGTACACCCTTGATGCCAAGCACAATTTCGCTCGTGATAAAACTCGTACTGCCGGAGTTTTCCTGCGACACTTTGGCGACAGCACACTGATGTGAAAATAAATGTGCTGTGTATTGCGTGCGTAAGACGGTAAGTGGCGGAGCTTTAACGTAGATTTCTTCCAACAGCTTCGCTTTTTTATTAACTGCATATGTTTCGCTAGATATTGGAACACCTTTGGCACGCTCCTGTAAGTCAATTAAGTGACTGCATTTTTTGAGTTAAATTCACATAGGTATGATTAAAAATTGTTTCTATTTTTGAACTTTGTCTTATATTTCAGACGAAAACGTGCACCTCCCTTCGACTGTGAAAAGAGATTAGGGGAAAGTCGTTTTCACGGAGCCTTTTGTGACTGCATAGAAGGCGCTATTTACCAGCAGAACACTCTCTGGAGGAAATATCTAAGGTAGGACAGCCAATGATAAGTGTATACTCGTGAGTCTATCAGTCAACGCTCACGTAACCGCCGGAGTTTTAACAAATGACGAGTTCTTGTGCTCGTCCTACAATACACAGTAGTCTGTTATCGTAGTTTGACTTGGTTAAAGAAATATCTGCGTAACTCTGACTTCGTAACATGTGTTTGAGCTAGCGAGTAACCCGGTGGGTATAAAAAACAACTGAATTGTGATTTCCACGGCGGAAAAAATCATTTCGAAGTAGTGGATGACTTTGCCTTTTTAAACCTATTTTAATAAATTTAGGAAAACCTAAATCGCTTTTTGATTAAAAAACGAAAACGTGGACAACCTAGAGCAACAACCAATCAAATTAAAGCTACAGACGGAAGTGACCTGAAGACTTAACGGCAATCATAAACTAAGGTAAACGGAAAACTCCAGCGCGCACCGTTTTTAGTGAAGTCTTTGTCACTTACGGATACGGTACAGTCTTCTTCGTCGGACGTTTCCGGCGGAAACTGCAAATTGCACTTTGTGGGCGGCAGGGCTGAGATATTATCGACGACAAACTGGACGAAACGAACAATGTCGGTTATCTTCGGCCGTCGTCCTTCCTCCTTGTCAAGGCCTCTAAATTGACACACACGAGGTTGGTAAGGTTCTGCGGTCTTCAGAAAACGCTGACAATAAATTTTCCCTGGAAGACGAATTTTACTACCTACGAGAACACATGGTATTTTGGCTGGTCCAGGGGACACACAGTACCTGCCACAAGTCCACCACATCCAACTGGAGACAAGATGACCAAAGATGGACCCAGATTAAATAACTAACGGGTCCGTACAACCAATCTGCGCGTGCCACGTACAACCGGGACCCCAACTCCACGTGGGCCGGCTTGATAGACAGCCTCCACCCCGCTGGTTGCAGAGGCCGCTTCTGGGACTATTCCATTACCCAATGTGGACGTAGATTTAGTGGCTAACAGGACCATATGACCGGGCTACGCATGCCAAACACGACCCAGTCTTTGATTACACATGGATCGGACTTTAAGGGGGGTTTTATAGGCCTTTGGTCGCCGAGGACGCTTCTGGATCTGACCGCCCGTGACTAGCTGTCGCACTACGTGTCAGCATACTCCTGCAGAGCCCGTGGCAGTTCACGGTATCGACGGCCTTTGTAAAATCCACGAATGTGGTGTCGACATTAGTATGCCCTTCATAGCACTTCTCCCGCAGCTGTCGGGTAGATACCCTGGCATTCGGGGAGGAGCCCGCGCCTCAAATGGCTGTTGAGACAATGGAGGAGGAGATGTATAAAGATCCCCTCGACGCTATTGATCCGCGAGACTCAGCTGTAGTTAGCACGAAGTAGACGGTTGTCTTTACGTTGATAGATGTGTACAATGTTGGCGCCCTTGGAGTCCAGAGAAACCTGTCCTTGTCGTTACATCTCCCGGAGCAGCGAGATGCGATTGTCCGTCAGTCGACGACCACTGTGCTTGTAGATATCGGCCAGGATTGCGTCGGATACTGATGCTTCCTTGATGAAGAGCTCTCTGCGTTTTTGAGATAAAACGCAGACAGCCCAGACCAGTATTGGTTTCCAATTGGGCAGCCGGTCGATAGCGTCGTTGGAGATTGTGGATGGGGGGTTAAGGCCGTCTCCCAAAGACTCAGTCCGGCTCTATGGAGTGTGCGATTTCTCTGTGGATATTGTTGTTTCGTCGGGCTGAGCAGTAGCGCATAGTAACAACCAATGTTCATAGCACGACAGAAACAGCTGTGTAAAGTATAATGCATTCCGCCACGTCTGGCTGCGATCACACCGGACTGACTACCGGTGCAGATAAAACGGTTGTCGTGAAGCAAGCCGCAAAAGCGGACAGACACACTACGACTAGAATCAACATCAAAAGAAGTCGACTGGTATCGGTAGACAAATTTACCTATAGAGGCAGTAGTCTCAAACAACACTAAGATCGGCGAAGAAATAACGACCCGAATCTCGCAAGTGCATCAGGTTTTCGGCCGGATACAGATCTCTGTCCGGAACCGCCGTGGAATTCGCCTCAAGGCAGAACTTAGCATGTGCAGCGAGGTTGTCCTGACGACGCTACTTTGCGAGGCCGAGACACGCACCGTTTGCACCAACCGAGCCAGGAATCTAAATTACTTAAACCTCAGCTGTTTCCGAACAAGATCCCAAGGTGGCAGAAAAGGTTCCGGGATACCGAAGTCCTGGGATGGACCGGAATCATCAGTATTCACGCCGTTCTGAGGAAACTGCAACCCCTCGCGGGGACAGATGACGAGCAATCACCCAAGCGACTCTTCTGCAGCGAAGTCTCTACAAGGCCTCCCGACAAAAGGGCAAAATAAAACGCTACCATGACACCCTGCGGATCGCCCTCGGGGATCCAAAAAACTCAACCCGAAGACCTGGGAGGACCCCACCCAGAGCTGTGTAGACTGGCGTAACAACCTTCAAAGTCAACCGAATCGTTCCGTACCCTCAGCCCAAAAACCCCAATCCCTTCACTCTTGTCCACGCCGTCAGTTGACATTTCAGGCACAAATTGGACTCGTCGGACACCGAAAAACTGAGTTCAATAGACAAAAGACACCTACGCGCACCGTTTTCAATAACGCCTCGGACAGCCACCAGCAAAAGTGAGAAAATGCTCCATGTCCGTGATGTCCACGAGCACTGCTACAAACCTTGGAACGTGGACAAGGACTACCGTCATGCCCATTCCCATCACCGTTGAAAACACTCCTGACGCCTCCCCAACCATCGGCAGCAAGGCGGACTTGATCTCAGTCTCTTTTTATTACGATCGGGTTTTCCTATGACTCGCTGGCCTGGACCAGTACCTAGAGACCCTATGCACACCCACTGGATCTGCCTAAACCACTCACAATGCACTCGGATACTCAGTCACCTCATTGGCCTACTCGGCCACATGCACCTCATGGAAATCTGCGGCAAAATAGCTCAGACAAAATGCCATCCTCACGAATCTCTCCATCCACACATACACAACGTGCGAACCCCTCCCGACGGTTCACCGTCTTTTCGGATGATGTCCGCCGTGTGCCCTGCAACAGGGGCGGTGGCCTGCGTGTGAATCATTCTTGCGCTGCATCTGTCGCATTCTCGCTCTCTTCCCTCACCTTCCTGGACCCGGTGTCACGACAAAGCCGTGAAGTGCGGAGGTGGCGTCAGGCGCAGGTGATTGACGCGGCGCGAGTCTGCGTCTAGGCGTGCAGCAGCATCCACCAAGTGTTGCATTTGTAATGGGCTGCGCATCGCCAATAACGCCTTCCGTGTCCTGATTCGGTTCCTCTTGTTGATCCAGCGCGTGGTCCGTTGTAGGGACACAATCTCTCACCTCATCCACCACATCGACCGTACAACGAGACGCCTGGTAAAGAGGGTGCGTGGACATATGCCTGCCTGACTAGACAGAGGTGAGACCCGATCGATGTCGAGTTCCATTCTCACACATTTAATCGATACGGATCACCGAGTCGATGTCAAGGAAGCATTTCAGATTGTCTATCGGACACCAACAAGCTACTCTAAAAGCCTACGCCAGCGGATACCAGCAACGGCCGAGGCAGTGGCTATACGGCTAGCGAATCCGGTGTTATGCTGTCAGAAAACCCTGACACAAGCGCTCTCCCTGCCGTGGCCAACGCCAACCCCAAGTGATGACGACATGCCGCCCCAAATCCCTAATTACAGTGATGGGTACTCTGCGTACTCAATCCAAGAACATCACTCAAAGACTCTCTTACCCCACCCCCCTACCTATAAGGACCAAATCCCCCAACCTTTCCATGCGGGCGGAGTGGGGAAGATTAGTGCTAACGACTTAATAGCCCTTGGGACACCTATAAACACTGTTAATTTTGTACATTTTCATTCCTTCATCTAACTCTACTGGCCTGACGAAGAATTACCGAAAACACATGCTTGCCAACTTGACTTTTCAAATTGCCTAACTGTTCATTCACCACTTGTCAGTTTTTGACGTTTCAAAACCCGCCTCTTGAAGAACTGGAGTTCCGAGCTCTGAGTTTCAGTTCATCACCATTTGGACGCTTACGTTCTGTCGTGTTCATCCTGAATTACTGTTTCATCAGGCCGTGTTGGGGAAGGGAGGGAAGTTCTGCCAAGTAACTGCCAAACTGCACAGTTTTGAACCGTTGAATCTTTGATGTCTCTATCGAGGCACCTCCTATCCAAATAACCGCGGTCTCTGCCAGTGAAATCGAGGCTGCTACGAGGCATCAACAGAGCCTTACAGTGCACTGGCATGGTTCCGAAGTAACCTGCTGGCGCACACATGCCAACGCGGTCTCAGTGCTGTAACTTCTCTAACCTACGTCATTTACAAGAGAGGAGCAGTACTTGCATACAAAAACTTACAACAAGAGTGACATGGGAATGTCAAGAGTCAGATGGTAATGTGTATATTTTTGGCATGAAAACCCCTAGCACCTGAGAGCAATTAAGTGGTTTTAGAACGTCATCACCGCACATCTGAAGGTTTTATTATTAACTTCGCAAGTGGAAACGGCTTTGCCTGCTCTTAAAGTGATTTAGTCCCATTGGTTACACGTAGGAGGATGATGGGAGCCAAAGGATCATAGTTAATCGTGTTAAGTAGATTATTACCCTAATTGGTGCCAAAGAGCTGCGGGGCAAGCGTTGAGTGGAGGCTTTAAGCTACGTCGGCCACCGAGTTTGATCTCACAACCTCCCAAACGCTCGACTTTGCCTCGCAAGTTGTAAATGCTGAGAAATAAAGGCAAGAGTGCGACCGGTCCAAAGCGGACCTAATGCCGACTATTCTTCAACTGATAAATCAAGTGTGCTTTTAACCTGCCACGCCACATTAAGGGCTGTAGCTTGAAGAACTTTAGTAAATCCGTCGCTCTGTTTACTGATTACGGCGCAGCCCTTCTTTGCCGAAGTATGTCATCCAGTCGCGTCGACTGCTGTGCTCATGTTAATTTCCCTGTCATCTTAACTGCGCCCCGTCACTGACAAATGGTTGGTCCGCGGAGAGATGAAGTGAAGTAGATGCTGCACAAGTCGTCGCCGCTTTAAGAGATTCCGGATCGCAGTGAACGAACTACTATGACACCCGGGTGGTCTAGTCATGACTGTTATTTTTAATTATTTCCTTTCTGCAAGCATTTGATATTTTGTCTACGGCAGCATACGGCCTCTTAGAAAACCGATGTCTTCTTGTGTTCACCATGCGGATCCATAACATCTTTATAGGCTGATAAAACAGACATGCAATTAAATTTTGTCCTCTCCCTCTGGTCAACAACCTTTCTGCGGTGCTCTCCTTTTGTCTTGTTTTTTGAAATACTGGTCAGTGTATGTTGTGGAGCAGGTAGTGTGGTGGTACACATAGGTGAGGGTTTTTGCCGCGCCAGAAACCTGCATCCTCTCCCGCCCCCAGAGTCCTTGACTGTGTCGTGACGCCGGGCCCAAGTGGGGGAGGAGGAGAGGGTGCGGAAGACGCTACGCAAGTCTGCAATCACCATAGACTAATTCACGCGTAAATCACCGTCCCTGTTCTCAACCTGCTGTGGAGCAACGCAGGAACTGGATCGGGGCCGGCCGGCATGCTTGGAAATGCGCACACAACAACTCCCAACATTTGAGATGTAACGCACATCAATTTGAGGACTCATAAGCCGCCAATTGGGATCTGTGTGGCCCGACGAGACGAGTGAGTTCCGTAACACGATCGGCGAGTGCCTTCTACCATTGTATATACCTGACCGTAGCCGACAGGACAACGAGCCAGTATTCAGTGGCTAGGGCGCTGGACTTCTAACCAACAGGTCGCGGGACCGAGCCCCAGGTGTTTCACACTTCGGGATTGGGTGTGACTGGCTGACGATGGATGCTAAGCCAGAGGTGGTCATCCCAGTCGTCCTTGTCTTTGTCGGTAATAACATACTGTCATAAAACACCTGAATCAAGGGGTCTTTGCCGGAAATGTCATTTGGCCTCCTCGCTTTTTGCTGCTGTATAAAGTCCTAATCAGTGGCCTGGTGATATAGGCAGCCTCCCCTTCCCCTCCTTCCCCTTGGTACATGTCAGTACAAAAAATCTCAACACGTTCTACACAAGATCTCGGTTTGCATGCCAAAATATACCTTTATTTTTAGCAAGGGAATAGAAGTAAGACCTTACTCAAGTAAGTAAGACATGTGAATGGAGAATCAATGAGTTCAAGAGGACTTAACGACCATTTTGCGGCTTATTCCACTCAAAAGTCCCCAGTTAAATTGAACTACATAATACTGCGCAAAGAATATATTGGCAATGTATTAACAATCCTTACCTATAGCTGGAAGAAAACAGGGTGTCAGAGCTTTCAACACGTGCAGTTGCACGCGGAACCAGTGAGTCACTAATCGTTTGAAGAGGCCGGGCTTGTTCTTTACCTTGTTCACACTCCGAAAGACCAGTAGCTTACTCTCAGATTAAAATAGCACCCAAATGGCCCAATCGAAATAAGAGAAGTTGAAGTGGGTTCTGCAGTCGGCTGCGCAGAATTTTCCAATGATAAAAATTTGAAAAGCCTTCCTTAATGAATGGAAGACATTCAAGCAAAAATCATTGTGCCCACTGAAAGGAGCCCGAAATTGTCCCGGACATAGTAAGTTGCCGATTTCCGGACATTACGGTTTCCTTAATGCAGCGTAACGCATGTGTAGGAACATATGCAAAGAAATAATTTGTTTCCCAGAAACGACTCACCTAAGCAGTGACCTTCCAGGCGAGCTGGAAACGAAGGCTCCATCTTTCCTTACATTCATCCATGATTGCTTTATGCTGTTAGGAATGGATTTGTGTCATTATTTGTCTGCTCTTACTACCTTACAACACCGTCCACTGACTATTGATAGATGGTGGAATAAGATGAAAACTAAGGTTGATGCATTGCACAACTATCCAGCAAGATGCGTTTTCAAGTTTGTCTTTAAGGAAGACGTTTACAGGTTTTTCACTGAAAATTTATTAGATCCCAAAATAATGGGCGTTTTCTCGCTTTTTTCCTCACGACATTATTTGAAGTGGGGTGAGGCTTCGCTTGGCCAATTAATTTACTGGTGACAATGATTCATAAACCGTAAACAAATGGTTCCTCTTTGCTACCAAAAGGACTTAAGATGGAGCCCGCTCCACCTACCTCATTTGTACGAGGAGCTATTAAGCATATGCGGTGAGGATATCAATGCAATTAAATTTTGCAACATACCGCTTTAACAGGTCCTGCACAATTTTCGGACAGCCTTCAATTGGTTGGAAGGTTTTGGAATAATCCGAGCGAGTAAAAACCTCCCAGAAGGATGCGCACAGACTGTAAATATCTGCACTTCGGTCGTAGCGTTTTGGCCTTTCACTGGTTCTAGCTGATAAACGGGGAAAATCGTAAACGGTGCGGACATTCCTTCATAAAATGCTCGAGTCAGAACCGATCTAAACTTAATTATACAATTGTTGCTCACTGCATACTACAGCGGCCAAGTTGTTAGTATGGACTGTTGTGTTATAAACTTGTATGAAAACTGCAAAACTTTATTTTTATATTAATCAACAATTTTCCTTCGTCTTATAATGGAACACCCTTTTAGCGTACAAGTGAAAAGAGCGGGATTCCTGTTGACACATTTCTCAAACAATGCAGAGTCATTTTCGCACAACGTGTATGCGCTCCGAATAGGCCATTTATTTCTTACGTAGAAACTGGACAAAGCATTATTCCGGCAGTTTTACTATTTCGGGCTCTTGGCGATTATTGTAGATGACTAGTAGATCTGAATTTCCGGCCCTGATCAGGTGGTCAGAAAAAGGGCGTTCCAGACAGCTCTTGTAGCTGGTCAAATGACCAAAGTAAACGATATTTTCGTAGTCTTCGTCCATAACAAAAAACTTGCAAACTTCAGGCAAGAAACACTTGTGCTGAATGACGTCTTGACTTTCTTCTGAGGTTATATTTTTAGAATAAAGTTGAATACCCCATTTTTGGCGCGCGTATGTTGTGTATTTCAACTTAATGCCACACAAATTTGTTTGTTTCTCGGTTTGAAGTCTGCTTTTGCGGCTAAAACGCAGTGCATGTTTCCATAAGGGCCTTAAGAAAGGACCCTGAAGCAAATATTGGACGAACATTCACGGTTTTATGTCCCCCTTTGGGTTTATTAATTTACTTCAGATGTGCCGATAAAGGCATAAGAGCTATATATGTGTTTTCTAACTACAAAAGACATCGACTCTCGTAGGGTTTGATTATCAACGCAACATGCTCTCCATTCAACATTCTTGCTGCCTTTTAAATAGCGAAAGAATTAACGGTTCTCAGATCCAAATAACGTATGCAGATCAATGACACTTGTTTATTATTTAGTAGAAATGAACTTTACCTGTAGCACGACATGATTATATCGGCGCATTTGACTTTTTAACTGCTTATCTTTAAAATAATTTTATCAAATCTGGAAACTATAATAAAAAGGTTATTTCTCTTACGGGCAAGTACTTCAGGGGCCATATACTTTAGGGATCCCTGGTGCAAGGTGACATCTTCATCCTCTTCTCGGGCAGTCCCAAAATCGCACAATTTTAGTAAACGACAATCATCAAAAAGGAGCATATTCGCTGGTTTAATGTCACGATGAATCTTCGTAGGTGAGCAGTGTTCGTGGAGATATTCCAGAGCGTTGGCTGCGTGTAGAAACCACAGGAATGCATGAGACATTGTGTACTTGGTTTGGAATGGTGCGTCGCATCTTTTATTGAAGCGTGCTGTAAGGACTGACAATGTAGAAAAAATAAAAAGCTGTGTTATGCCCTTCTCAGTGAAGAGTGCAAATGATGAATTCTGTTATAGGATGAGATTTTAAAATTCTGCAATATCATTCTTTATCTTAAAAACTTACGATTTTCTAAAGAGGAGTTCGGGGCGAACTCCATGACAATGTACTTAAGGTCTTTGCCTGCGGGACTCGGCCCAGCACCGATAACGCCAACAATGTTAGGGCAGCGGCATTCGAATAGGCAAATGAGTTCACGGTAGCTGGATAATCTTTCGTTTGGATTCAATTGTTTTATGGCAACCAAATTGCCGCGGTAAAATCCACGGTAAATTTGTCCGTAGTTCCCATAGTCTAAGGCCGTCTAAAAAAATCTAAAATCAACAAGCCGATACGTCTCTGCGAAGATCCAGTGCAGGGATTCGTAGTACGCGCCTGGACTTCCAAATAAGCTCACGAAGTTCAGCATTTTGTTTCCTAAAATATGTCATTGTTTGTTAATAAGTAATACATAATTACATAATTACAAACAACACAATAAATATATTTATTGGTTTATTATTCTAATCAATTTAAGCTAATTGCAGGTGATAAATGTCCCATAAATAACTTTTGATTCCATTGTTGCTTAGAAAACTGGAAACGAAGGTCATATCCGATTTCGAGCGAACGTCTTCTTTTGTAATGAGAATAATGAACTGTACGGACTCAAAAAAATTAATTAGCTATCGTTTCATCGATCGACGGATGCGATCACCTTAGGAGTGTAGTCGTTGGCAGGACGAAGGTGTCATTCAGTAATGCAGTGGAAATGTTACTTTGTACAGGAAAACGGTAAAGTGGCCGGCTTACTTTTTTTTATCCCCAGGGGCCATGAAGTAGCGTGGATTCGAAAAGTCGCCATGTAACGACCGATTGTTTTAAACGGATCTTTTTTTACTTCCCGCCCGCCCTTTTTCAGAGTTTGGGTCACGTGGATCGGAGCTGACGCCTGTCGACACGCCCTCCGTTAAGTCCCCTTTTCCTTATCGTTTCCGTATTCC